TATTTACACTTATGCTAGCCCTTAATTACAAATTTCCATTTTCAATACAGAATCTCATAAATTTCCCACCCTTTGAGTATCCCCCCCCAGCTCATTCCATACTTTTATTAGCTGATCTATCGTATTTGGAACATGCTTGGTTTTCCAATGACTAGCTAACATCAGCCTTGCAGTTAAATTTTTAACCACTTCCTCAGCTAAAGTGCATACCATTTTAACATAATTTAGTAGAAGAGTCTCAGGCATTTGAGGCAGTACTATATTATGCCCAAAACTTCTGATATTATACCTGCTACCATTTCCCAGTAAATTTATGCATAATGGCATGGCTGCTACATGTGGAGAAAATCAGCTCTGTCTTTAGAACAGTGCCAACATGTGTCGAAACAACTGCCATACATTTTTGATAATCGCCATGGAAATAAGTTGCTGAACCATTTTAAAACAATTGTATCTTAATTGCAAACTAACTGAGAACAAAGATCCTTCCAAATATATACTCTGTGAGTATCCTAGACATCTGCCATTTTAGCTCATGGCTTTTAACTACCTCCTCCTGCTCCGTTTCTAATAGCACAATATACAGTTCAGACAATAATTGCTTCCTACTTCCAAATGCCAGTTCCTCAGATTTCTCTCACTCTTATACATCTTTACAAAGAAGACCAGATCATTTTTTTACTTGTAACTAATAAAAGGTAGTGAGGGTATTACAGCTGGCTAGTCCTACTGCTTCGTAAGGAATGGTTGCATTATCCTTAATCAAATCTCCATGGAGTGCTACACCTACTTTCCCCCACATTTCGATCCTCTTCATATTTTTATTTATTTTTACATCCCTTTCCCTCATTTCTGATGTAATGGGAAAAGTGGCTGGAGCTATCCAACAACTGAGTTTGTTCTAGATTGTTATTAAATCATCTATTATACAGTTAAGAACATAAGAACATAAGAGAAGCCAATGTTGGATCAGGCCAATGGCCCATCCAGTCCAACACTCTGTCACACAGTGGCCAAAAATACCAGGTGCCATCAGGAGGTCCACCAGTGGGGCCAGGACCCTAGAAGCTCTCCTACTGTTGCCCCTTATCTCCTCATAGATTTTTGTTTTTTCTGTATTCTTCAATCATACCTATGCATATAAGAACATCTTAATAAAAGCACTCTCTATTGTCAAGATAATACACATTAATTTTGCAGCAACATATAGTTTTTGTTCTTTTTTGTTATATTCCCCCCTTTTCCTTCTATTGAACTGATTTTAATCCTTGTTCTTTAGCATTCCAATATATCTCTTGCTGTTCTTTTTAAAATTTAGCTGAGACACATGCTGGAATATTATTGAACAAGAATGTTAATCCTGGCAATACTATCATCCTGATTGCATTGATTCTTCCCAAAAAGACACTTTATAATTTTTCCAGATCTCTAAAACAGACTTAATATTATCCAACATATGATCAAAATTCAAACTCTCATAAGGTCTTATACTTCCTTGGAACAATTAATCTTAATACTTCGTTGCTTTGTTGATAATCTAAATCTTTTGGAGAATATAATCACCTCCAAAATGTAGCATTCACAGGAAATGTAAAAGCTTTAGTTTGTTTCCAAATTAATTTTATATTCAGAAGCTTTACTATAAGCATTTAATACCTGGCTTAGTTCTCTAGATGAGTTTTCTGGATCTGTCATATAAACTATTACTTCATCAGCATATAAATTTATTTTGTATTTGTACTGTGCTTCCCTGGATCTTAGTATGTTGTCAGCTATAGGTACTAATGAGGTAATAATACTGACAAAGGACAACCTTACTTAGTTCCATTACAAATATCTGTTTTCACAGTAAGTTCTCCATTGACCATCAGTTTTGCAGAAGTCATTTTTTTTGTCCTCTAATGATATTTTTTGAGATTCATTTTGCCTTGAAATTCTTCTATCCTTTGGACATTGAGATTCTGAGACATGAAGAATTGTTTATACAACTGAACTTCCTCTATTTCATTTTTGTAACCAGTTTTCCTTCCCTTCACTTTTTATAGCTCATATAGTATTTCTTCTTTTTTTCTTCATTAATCTATGAACCAACATTTTCCCTTATGTATTGCCTTTTTAAAAAAAGTCTCATACATTGCATATTTCCATAAATATTTTCTGTAGCTAATAATTACAATTTTCTTTTTACACAATCTAGTGTCTCTAATGCTCTCTTATTGGGGTTCCTTTTATGTGTTCTTCTGCTTCTGTTATTTATACACTATTCTATTTTGCTACTGCTTTTTATTACTGTAACTAGATATACTTGCCCTTACCCAGAATAGCCCAATATCATCAGACCTCGAAAGCTAAGCAGGGTCAGCCCTGGTTAGTACTTGGATGGGAAAAGTCCAGGGTTGCTACGCAGTGGCAGGCAGTGGCAAACCACCTATGTTTGTCTCTTATCTTGAAAACCTACAGGGTCACCATAAGTTGGCTGCAATTTGATAGCACTTTCCACCACCAGATATGCTTAAACTTGTTTCTCTCACCTATGCTTTGCTGGCTTCCCATATAATAAATTCTGACATACCAAGAGTTGTATTAATATCAAACACATTGTCTAAATTCAGATCTAATTTTTGTTACAACATCATCCCTGTGCAAAAGTAAATTGCCAAGCCTCCAATTTTTCCATCTGTATGATTTGACTGTGGTAAATTCAATCCAGTCAGCGTGGTGTAGTGGTTCAGAGTGGCATACTCTAATTCCTCAGCTAAAGTGCATACCATTTTAACATAATTTAGTAGAAGAGTCTCAGGCATTTGAGGCAGTACTATATTATGCCCAAAACTTCAGATATTATACCAGCTACCATTTCCCAGTAAATTTATGCATAATGGCATGGCTGCTACATGTGGAGAAAATCAGCTCTGTCTTTAGAACAGTGCCAACATGTGTCGAAACAACTGCCATACATTTTTGATAATCGCCATGGAAATAAGTACCACTCCATATTAATAACTCCTCCCAGGGAATGGCAAAGTGGGTGTTGGCGAGGGGAGAAAGCTCAAGGCGAGCCTTTCCCCCAAAGACATGCTGGGCTGCATCCGGCAACCCATGGATGTACGGGAAGCAGACTTTTCCCTTGGCTCCTGCAGCTCCCGTTGACCCTCCAGAAAGAGAATGGTCTGGTGTGTATGGAAATCGTCACGTGGGTCAGGCGCCGTCCGGAGTGAGGAGGGACGAAAGGATGAAGGACAGGCAAAAAGGAAACGGCACCTGAATGCCTCGTTGAGCAACGGGTGGACTTCACTGCCAGCGGACCTGTATGGATGGCTTTAAGGAGGAAACAGATTCGTGGAGAGGTCCGGCGTGGTGACTAGAGGGAACCTCTGCAGCCGGAAGTGGGGAACCTCAGAACAGCAGTGCTTGGAGGTGGCAGCGGCGGCGAGCTTCGGCTTCTGTGCCGTTTGGTTTGCTCTCCAGAGCACCCGGCGTGTCCGTGTGTGCGACAGGACTGGTCGCTGTGTGAGACAGGACCAATGCTCCCTCTAAGCTGTGGGCTCTTGTGAACAAAAATTCTACTTTGTGAGCTTCTGGCATTAAAGTTGTGAGTGAGCAATTTGGCTGCTGCACAGATTAGTCTGCTCTGGAGCCCTCCTTCCTGAGCTGTGACAAAAATGTGTGAGCCAGAAGTTAAAAAACTGAACTACCTCACACTAACTAACCTTAGAGGGAACACTGGACAGGGCGTGATCCAGCCGGGTTCTTCTGATGTAATGTTGGCCATCCTGGCCCTTCCACAAAGCTGCCTGTGCAGATGATTTCACCCTCTTCTCCAGCCTCGTTCTGCATCCCCTCCCCTCCCCTCGTGCAGCTCCCACAGTGCTGAGAATGGGGGGTCAGAAGGGGCTGCAGGGAGCTGAGAGGAACCAATGGAAAAAATCTGCTGTTCTGTACACGGCTCAGCATGTCTGGGAAGAGGGCTAGCCTAGAGCTCCTCCCTGGGACCCGCTGTGCCATTCCCTGCGAGTGGTTTTCACTACGGAGGGTAGTCCAGCAAGTGACCCCCTCCGCATATACCTGTAGATGGCTGCAGTTCAGTCCACCGCCAGATTGATCGCGGAAGCCTGTGCGTTTCAGTGACACCGGCTACGGATGACGTGTTGTTGTTCAGTCGCACAGTTGAGTCCGACTCTTCGCGACCCCATGGACCAGATCACGCCAGGCCCTCCTGTCTTCCACCGTCCTCTGAAGTTTGCTCAATTACATGTTCGTTGCATCTATGACGCTGTCTAACCACCTCATCCTTTGCCGTCCCCGTCTTCTTTGACCTTCAATCTTTCCCAGCATCAGGGTCTTCTCCAGTGAGGGCTCCCTTCTCATTTGGTGTTAGGAGAACAAATCCTTGGCATCCACCCCCACCCCACCACCAAAGCAGAGGTCAGCACACGTCCTCTCTCTCCATTCCTCCATACTACAAACAGGATACCGGTCTGTTTCCAAACACACCATCCCTAAGTTTTCTTAAGAGAATCCAGCCTTTTCTGCTGCTACTGCAGCCCAAGAAGACTGCCCCAAGGAGGGAGGGCTTCTGGAGCCCTGGCCCTGCTGGCGGACCTCCCGATGGCACCTGAGTGTCGGCCACTGTGCGGCACAGAGTGTTGGTCTGGATGGGCTGTTGGCCTGATCCAACAGGGCTTCTCTCTTATGTTCTGAAGTGGTTCCTGGGAGCCAATGAACCCCCAGGGACAAGACTGGGGAAGGGGATCTGCTGTGGGGGAAGGAAGCAACTGGCAGAAGTCACTACTCACCCCCCTCTTAAGAAAACATGTGCCCTTTGGAATGTGGCGGAATACAGGCCGGGCTATTTGGCACCGAGTGCAGATACTGCTGGATTCAGAAAACGTTTGGCTTTGGCCAGTGACGAAGAAGAACCCGCCCCCTGCACACCACAACTGGCAGGGGCTGCCTTTCTACACCAGCAAGATCATCCCTGGCTAAGCGGCCAGTTCTACTTACGGCTTATCGGGGGCTGCCAAACAAACAATCTCTTTTGGCCGATCCCGGGCTTGTTTTTCTGCAAGCAGAAGGTTGCAACCGTCAGCATGTGCTCAGACCTTCCCGGTTTAAGATTAAATACAAGCCCCCCCCCTCCCCACAAGAGAAGACAACCTGTAATATTGGGACCAGGAACAACAGACCTTGAGCTGAAGTGGGTGTGTCTGTCGGGCTGATGTAACTGACTCCAGCGCCAAAAGTCACGTTGTTAATGGACTCTGGGGGAAAACACACACACAAATATACAGTTGCATTAGCTGGTTTACTGCAAGCTGATCGCATAGGCTGGTCTCCTTGAAGACAGTTTTCCTGCCTAAGTGCTGGCTTTCTTGACTACAGAAGTCATCGCTCCCACCTGCCGGCTTGTTATCAGAGTCGTTGCATAGGCTGGCAGAAGGGATTAACTTGCAGTGGCTGAGACCTGTCCTCTAAGGTGGTCGACAGCTTGCAGTTTAGAGATCTATCCTGGTAACGGCTTTCTATATGCAGATGATGCTGTTTTACTTTCAAAGACCCCAGGAGGCTTCAGGAGAGCCATGAATTCTTTTTCCCCAGTACTGCTGTGAGAGCACATTAGGCGTTAACTTCTCAAAAAAGAAAGCCATGGTGTTTACGAAAAATTAAACTCCAAAAATATATTGCTGGCTTCTTGATACCAGTCCTACAGAACAAGTCTTTTGTTTTAACAAGGCTTTTGTTGCTCCTGAGCAAACCTGAAGGGAAAGAATCCTCACTTCTTATTTCCTCTAGATCACTGGTTCCCAAAGTGGGCAATACCACCCCTCGGGGGCGCTGTAATGGCCCAGGTGGGCGGTCGGATCCTTGGGTGCAAATTTGTCACTGCATCTTTTTGTCCACTTTTTGAAGGTAGATTTCCAAGGGGGGCAACTGAGTAATTTTTTTTCTGAAAAGGGGATGGTAGGGCCAAATAAGTTTGGGAACGTATGCTTTAGATTATAGGTTCCCAAACTTGTTTGGCATACTCCCCACCTGCCGGCTTGTTATCAGAGTCGTTGCATAGGCTGGCAGAAGGGATTAACTTGCAGTGGCTGAGACCTGTCCTCTAAGGTGGTCGACAGCTTGCAGTTTAGAGATCTATCCTGGTAACGGCTTTCTATATGCAGATGATGCTGTTTTACTTTCAAAGACCCCAGGAGGCTTCAGGAGAGCCATGAATTCTTTTTTCCCAGTACTGCTGTGAGAGCACATTAGGCGTTAACTTCTCAAAAAAGAAAGCCATGGTGTTTACGAAAAATTAAACTCCAAAAATATATTGCTGGCTTCTTGATACCAGTCCTACAGAACAAGTCTTTTGTTTTAACAAGGCTTTTGTTGCTCCTGAGCAAACCTGAAGGGAAAGAATCCTCACTTCTTATTTCCTCTAGATCACTGGTTCCCAAAGTGGGCAATACCACCCCTCCAGGGGGCGCTGGAATGGCCCAGGTGGGCGGTCGGAGCCTTGGGTGCAAATTTGTCACTGCATCTTTTTGTCCACTTTTTGAAGGTAGATTTCCAAGGGGGGCAACTGAGTAATTTTTTTTCTGAAAAGGGGATGGTAGGGCCAAATAAGTTTGGGAACGTATGCTTTAGATTATAGGTTCCCAAACTTGTTTGGCATACTGCCAAAAGGCTGCTTTAGACAGGTTCTGGACTCTTCTTTCTTTATGCTTCCACCGCCCCCTTATTTGTACTTCAACACCCCCCAATTGCACCCAAGGCTCCGACCGCCCACCTGGATCGTTCCAGCACCCTCAGGGGGTGGTATTGGCCACTTTGGGAACCGGTGCCTTAGATCATAGATAACCAGCACACAGGCAAAGAACCTAGTAGTTATATCTGTGTCTTTACTTGAAAACCTGGCTGTACTCTTTCTCCTACCATACAGTCTTGCAGGTTTATGTAGCGCCATCTATGCACATGATGCGCAAAGGCCACAGGTCTGTCCCCATGAAGCATACAAGCTGTGGGGCAGCTCATACTGGCTAGACCGGGGGATTCTTGCCTGGCGCCATAAGCCCCCCCCCCCCGAGGGCAATATACAAATCAAGGGAAGCATTTAAAACTTCGGGGGAGACTGGGGATTTTAGGCACCCCTTTGGGCCCCCTGGCGATGGCTGCTGACAGCCAACAAAGGAAAGCTGCTTTATGATGCTCACTCCGCCTTCAGGATAAAAGCCCGGATCCTTGACTCCTCCCCCAAGGCCCTTAAAGAAGAACCACACAGCAAACTGGAATCAAACCTGACATTGAGGAGTTGGCTGAGGGCCATCGGCCACAAGGGTCTTCCTTCCACGCACACATGAGATCTGCCTGGGGGTATGTATGTATCATATATATAATATGACACATAGAGATATGATATACCTATATCTATCTATCTATATCTGTGTGCGTGTGTATAAACTGTGCAAGGCAAGAGTAACAACGCTAGCTCATGGTGCTGCAGAAATGCAATGAAGGATACTGCAACGGGCACGGCGGTGCCTGCTGGAGGGAGACGGAAAGGGTAGGGAATGGCAGGATGCCAGGGAAAATGTTCAGGGCAACTCTGTCCATAACAGGGCCAAAGATGCTCCCATTTTATTGGGGCACGTCTGTGACCACAAAACAAGGGAATTGAGCTTGCAAAAAAACCCACAAAAAACCACCAACAATCCAGGGGTTGCCTGCGGAGAGTGGGAAAAAATCACTATCAGATTACTGGAAAGAGGAGACTTTCAAAGTGAGGTAGTTGGTTCTCTCCACACACAAAGTTTAATGCATGCCGGGAGACAGACCTATGAATCCTGGAACTGCCCCAAAAGAAGAAGTGGAGGAGGCGACTGCCCTGAGGATACTGACAGGCATTCAGGAGGGAAGCACCGGCAGCTTTCTCAGAGCACCCGCTATTGGGGCGGACAACAATGTCCCCAGTTTATTTTATTTGTACCCTGCCCAATGTTCCCTCTAAGCTGTGAAGTCTTGTGAGCAAAAATTCTACTTTGTGAGCTACTGGCATTAAAGTTGTGAGCAAGCGATTTGGCTGCTGCATGAATTAGTTTGCTCTGGAGCCATCCTTCCTGAGCTAAGGCAAAAATGTGTGAGCCGGAGGCTAAAAAACTGTGAGCTAGCTCACACTAACTCAGCTTAGAGGGAACACTGACCCTCCCCGTCGAAGCAGGCTCAGGGTGGCTCAGTGGATTTAATAATTCATTTATACCCCATCTTTCTCCCCAACACAGCTTGCGTCCTCCTCCCCTCCACAGTTATCCTCACAACAACCCTGTGAGGGAGGTTAGGCTGAGAAGGCATGACTAACCCAAGGTCATCCAGAGAGTTTCCGTGGCACGCGTGGGATTCAAACCCTGGTCTTCCAACAACTAGTCCGACACTTTCAACCACTACGCCACCCCAGCCCCCGGTGCTGATGCTCCTTGCCATCACCATCGGGATCATGCGCTAAACATCTTGGGCCGGGGGCCATGCCACAGACCTCCTGGGTCTGCCGCCACAGGCACATACCAGGGAGCTGCAGACCAGAGTGGCTTGGACGGGCGTGTTTATACAGCACAAGCATTTCCATACACGTTTGTCTTGGCCAACATCATGGAAGATTTGTCCGTTATGGGATATCAGAATCACAGAGTTGGAAGAGACCTCCAGAGACATCTAGTCCAACCCCCTGCACAATGCAGGGAATTCAAAAATACCTCCTCCACACCCACAGTGACCGCTGCTCCACACCCAGAAGGTGACAAAAACCCTCCAGGATCCCCAGCCAAACTGGCCTGGAGAAAAATTCCTTCCTGACCCCAAAGTTGGCGATCAGCATTTCCCTGGGTGTGTAAGAAAGGGCCACGAGAACTAAGCACTGAGGCAGCCCTTCCTGCCCTCCCTCTCATGGTCTGCCTAAATTCACAGAATTTGCATCGCTGTCAGGTGGCCATCTAGCCTCTGTTTGAAAACCTCCACAGAAGGAGGAGACTCAACAGAACCACCACGCTCAGAAGCGGAGTACCTTTGAGTACTTTGGTGGTGGTGTGTGTGGGGGGAACGACAACAGGAAGCAGCTTGGGCTTCTGTGCCCCGCATCTGGTTGGCCACGGTCTGAAACAGGACATCTGACCAGAGAGGCCCCAGTCTGATCCGGCGGGGCTGCACAGGAGTCGCTAAGTGTTCCTCTACTAACGCAGCACGTGCAGCGGCGGCCGTGTGCGGCTGCAAATGTCAGAAGCGGCTCGGCGGCATCCCTTGACGGCGCCAGGCGGCTGTCAGGCAGGTTATGTTCTCCTGGTTCCTCGGAAGCATTTGTGCTTTGAAAATCAGGAGCGGAGGAGGTGAGGGAGGCCGGGACTCATCCGCAGAGGCACGACACGCCGGCTGCTCTGACAGCGGCAGTTATCGGTCCTGAACCGGTGCAGGAGGAAAAAGGAAAACGGCCGTCTCCCCCCCTGTCCCTGAGTTGGTGTATTGGTGACAGCTCCAGACGAGCCAGGGCAGGCAGCAATAATGAGACACACGGCGAGGAGGCAAAGCAGGAATTTTAAACCTTGGCCCCAGAGTGGGATTAGCGGCTCCCTCCCTCCCGCATATGTCATTTCAGCGGCGCATCAGTGCGATCCCCCCGGGGCGGAAAGGCAGGGAAGATTTTCGCGGCCGTGGCATCCCGAGACTTTCTGCGGAGCAGACGACGGGAAGTTAAGGCGACAGATGGCATTAATGTTGAGTCCATCGACCTGACCGAGTCAGGGGAAAGGATGGCTTTTTACAGGGTGGCGTGTGAGGCTAGGGCATCTGCGGCCGGCTCGGCTGTCGATCACACGCGCGCAGAGTTGACAACTGGCCGTTGGCCTGGTCACCCGTGGTGAGTCACGGTTGCCTCGGGGTGACCAGACGCTTTGCTAAATAAGAGATCTGGTTCTTTTTACGGCTTCTTCCAAGCTGTTCATGTATCACAAATAACTGACAGACGCATACGGGAAAGGAGGGCTCGGGAAAACTCGTGGGAGTCAATGAATTCAGCAGAATCGTTTGCAAGGCTGAACGAACAGGGGAAGTCGCTTTGACAAGTCAGCCCCCGATGTGCCCAGCAGAGTACTTTCTACTCCAAGTAGCGATGGTCTCCCAAGGTTTCAGGCAAGGATGCTCGTTCCCTGGGATCCTTTCTTAAGTGGAAGTAACAGGGAATGAATCCGGGACCTTGTGCGTGGCACATAGCTTGAGTTCTTCACCGAGCAGTGGCTGCTGTGCCAAAAGATGGAAACCGGCACCTCTTGGCCCTAATTGGGATTTAAATGGGCAGTTTGATAGACTCAACCTGAAGAAGTTGGTGTAAAATACCAACATGGGACATAAGACAGTGAACACTGCTGCTTCTTGAATGCAGGATGAAGAGATGGGATCCTGAGATCGGTGGAACCTTTGTCTTCGGCTAGCAAAGACTTAAAAGGAGGGAATGCTTCTGGGCAGAGGACTGTCACTGACCCGTGCTGGATTTGTGGGGAAAAGTGCATCCCTTCAGCCGTGACGTTTCGGAAGTAGCAAGCTGGGGAAGAACTAGCGCTTTGCTTTAAGGGTGTACCACTGTACCTGGTTATGGAGCAGTGGGGAGATATAAATCCCATTCTCCTCCTCATGCCAGAGTCGGGATTAATACCTTAATCTACAGGTCTTTGCATGCAGCTGTCAGCTCACTGAACACCCACAAGAATCTCTACATACTCACCTGTGGAACGGGTGACTGGAGCTGGGTAGGGGACCCCGGAAGACCATTTTGAAGGCCCAGCCCTACCTAGTAACTCAAAATAGTTTAAGAAACACTGCTGGGGAGAAAGATGCCAAGGAGTAGAGTCAGCACGATATAAACCAGCTGACAAACTAAAGGTGCTCATGAATTTTGGGTGGTTCATGATTCATGAAGTGATGTTCGCAAACTGAAGAACTGCCACAAACTTCCACGCATTTTGGTGCAGTTCGTGGCAGTTTGTGAAGAACAGAACCCCTGCTTTCTGCTCTTCACGAAAACCAGTGGAGCTGTTTGGAAACCCCTGCTTTCTGCTCTTCACGAAAACCAGTGGAGCTGTTTGGAAACCCCTGCTTTCTGCTCTTCACGAAAACCAGTTGAGCTGTTGAGAAACCCCTGCTTTCTGCTCCCCACGAAAAGCTGTGGGGAGCAGAAAGCCGGGGTTTAAACTGGGTTGGTTCGCAAACCAGCCTCCCGGTCCGTATGGATTCGTGGTTCATCCACGAACCATACCACAAAAATGTGGTTTGTGCTCATCCCTATTATACTGTATTGCTGGCCTTTATCTTGCCTCTCTGGCTGAACTACAGCCTGGGGAATTACTACCAGGAAGCACCATCTAAGACAAACTTGGCTACTGCTTCGAGAATTATATTGACACATGAACCTGCCTTATACCGATTAGTCCATTGGTCCATCAAGGTCAGTGTGGTGTAGTGGTTAGAGTGTCAGACTAGGATCTGGGAATCCCGGGTTCGAATCCCCACTCTGCCATGGAAGCTCATGGGGTGACTTTGGGCCAGTCACACACACTCAGCCTAACCAACCTCACAGGGTTGTTGTGAGGATAAAAGGGAGAAGAGAAGAATGATGGAAGCTGCTATGGCTCCCCATTGGGGAGAAAGAGGAATATAAATGCAGTAAATAAATAATTGGGGAGAAAGGGGGATATAGATGCATTAAATAAATAAATAATTTATTCAGACCGAGATCTAGGCAGAGGTCTTTCACATCACCTGGTTCTTTTAACTGGAGATGCCAGGGATTGAACCTAGGACCTTCTGTATGCCAAACAGATGCTCTACCACTGAGCCACAGCCCCCACCCTCCAAGAGGGAGATGATCCTCAAAGTCAACCCTACCCACCCCTTCTATACCACTTGCCCATCCCAGCTCAGATGGCCTTGCAATCTACCAGTTTGGGAAACTTACTGTCCGGAGTACTGATGGCTCTGACATCGAGGACAGCCCCTTCCGAAGACGTCTGGGTTAGGCTGCCGAGAGTCACTAGGAGGAATGGGAAAAGTGTAAAAGGCGCAAAACGCATCCAGTGGGGCCGCTCGGGACCCACCCGCCGGCCGGGTTCCAGAACTACCGGGCCGAAGTCCACCTGCTAGTGGACGCCTTACCTTGCTTACTGCTCCACTGACTCCCCAGGGATAGGGGCCGGCTGCCGAGGCTCCTGCTGCGCTGCTTCCTAGCCTCCTCCATGGCCTTTTTAGCTGAGTTGAGGATGGCGAAGGTATTCAGGGACATCCTCCTAGGAAGAGCACGGCAGGAATGCTGCTTGGCCTTTCCCGGCTAGGGAGGGCCAAGTGGCCTCGAGTGACACTTCCCAGTACTCAGAGGACAGTTCCACTTCTAGCAGTCTAGCAGTTAAAGCGGCATAACTGGGGGCGTCATAAAATCATAAGAGCTGGAAGGACCCTCCAGGGTCATCTAGTCCAACCCCCTGAACAATGCAGGAGATTCACAAATACCTCCCTCCCCCCACCCCCAGTGACCCCTCTTCCATGCCCAGAAGATGACGAAAAACCTCCAGGATCTCCAGCCAAACTGGCCTGGAGAAAAGTTGCTTCCTGACCCGAAAGTGGTGATCGGCATTTCCCTGGGCGTGTAAGAAAGGGCCACGAGAACTAAGCACCGAGGCAACCCTTCCCGCCCTCCCTCTTGGGATCTGCCTGAGTTCGCAGAATCAGCACTGCTGACAGAGGGCCACCTGGCCTCGTCAGGTCCAGATAGGGTGATCTCTGGTGAGAAGCGCTCACTTCGGTCCCCCGAGCCCCGTACCTGGGTTTGGGATTCAGGATTCTTGCTGGGGGCGTAATGAACCCAAGCGATGAAGGTGGCAGAGCGGCTCTCAGTGGCAAGGAGTCTCTTCGGGCGGCTGGAGAACTTGCATTGCGTAGGTCCCCAGGAAGCGCTGCCCTCTCAGAGCTGGGAGACCGCTATTGAAAGGGAGAAACGGAGTGTGCTCAAGTCTTTGGCATTTGAGGCAGAGAAGAACCACCCTGCTTCAGGTCAAGATGGGTCGCCGTGTTAGTTTGTCTGTAGCCGTGGAAAAGTGCAAGATCCCCAGTGGCACCTTAAGGTAAAGGTTTCCCTTGCTCGAAAGCCAGTCGAGTCCGACTCTAGGGTTGCGGTGCTCATCTCCATTTCAAAGCCGAAGAGCCAGCGCTGTCCAAAGACGTTTCCGTGGTCATGTGGCCGGCATGACTAAACACCAAGGCGCACGGAACGCTGTTCCCTTCCCACCGACGTGGTACCTATTTATCTACTTGCAATTTCTTGCTTTCGAACTGCTAGGTTGGCAGGAGCTGGAACTAGAGACGGGAGCTCACTCCGTCATGCGGCACATTCGGGTCTCGAACTGCTGAACTACCAACCTTCCACAGCCTGCAGTTCAGCGTCTTAACCACTTGAGCCACCGCAGCTCCTTAGTAGCACCTTACAGACAAACAAAATTTGTGGCAGGGGGTGAGTTTTCGTGAGTCACTGCTCTTTTCTTCAGTAACTCACGAAAACCCATACCCTGCCACAAATGAACACACTGGTAATCACAATATTTACATGTCCTTGGTGGGGGGAATCACATATGTTCATCTACCGTCTCCTCTTAAAGAGGAGAAATGGCAGCTTGTCCCCACGGCTTTGCAAGGTAGGCACAGATGAGAAATGATGAAATCCAGATGGTTTTTGTGGGAATCCGAACTCAGATCTCAATGGTCCAGCAAGAGTGAAGGGGGGGATGATGAGGGGCATTGCCCCCTGCCTTGGGGACCAGACAGAGTGGCAAGGCAGTTCAAAAACACTACTAAAAATAAACGGACCTGAAATCAATTTAACAGTGATCTTTTCTCCCCAGGGAACACTGGGAACTGTAGTTCAGAGAGGAGAATTCTCTGCTCCCCTTGCAAATCCCGGGATTCATGTGATGATTAAAACAGCGTAAAAGCAACACCTGTTTGCCGTGTACCTGGACCCTGCAGGGCGTGATGTGAAAGGAACCTGCACAATTACTCGGCTCCTGATTTGCAAGAGGAACAGTGGGACTGGTTTAAGCTGAGATTCTCGTCTTCCGGATGTAAGACCGCAGCTGCTTTTCCCTGGGTGCATGGCACTGCCTTTTGGCTGCGTCAGCCTGTGGCAAGGAGGCGGCTTTGCACACGCTCAGACTAGGCTGGCTTTCGCAGCTGCTGTAAAACCTCACAATGAAGCAACCGGAATTGCCGGCAGGGTTTTTTTTTTTTTGAGAGGGTTGGTGGGTTGGGATCAGCCTACCGTGCACCTACTAGAAGCCCACAGCTGTGGTGGACGGCCCTGTCGGTACCCACTTGCCAGGCTGGGCGCTGGTACCTGTGCTGCCACCCGAGCAGGGAGCAATTCCGGCTCCCCCAGTAGCTCCGGGCTCTGCTCCCGCCGCAGCTGCTCTTCGTACTTCTTCATGTCGTACTCCAGCTCGGCAGCCAGCTGCTTGTCCACAGCAAACAGCTCCTTGATTTCATTCCGATAGTCCTGCGTGATCTCCTGGAGGACACAAAACGAGGCGGAGGTGGGTCGGGGGAGGCCCCACGGCTGTGCTTTCGTGCCTCCGTTTAAAGACAGCGCAGGACCTCTCGACGACTCTCGGCTCAGTTTATGCTAAGCACACACACACCCTCCCTGATCTTGGTGAGGATGGCTTGGGGAAGCCCTCACTGCCACCACTACCACTACCCACCACGATCGCCACTACCATCACCAGCAACAATTGACACCTATGGTGGAAGAGCCCTGATCCGATGGCCCCTCTAATCATTGCCCGAGCCAAACCCCCCAAAAACAACTGAAGCAGACCAATGGAGCCGACGTTAAAAGTGAAGAACTATGCTGGCACTTCATTATTATGTTTTGGTTTTAATATTCTATTTGTATTAGCTGTGCTTTTATATGTATTGTTGGAATTTTTACCCTGTTCTGTAAGTTGCCCTGAGTCGGCCTTGGCCGGGAGGGTGGGATACAAATTAAATAAATCAATCAATCAGTCAATCCTTGACTACTGAGATAGATGGACGCATGGTTTTGACTAGAGATGTGAAGGCCCGGAAAAAAACCGGAAAAATTCGGGGGAAAAACGTTTTTTTCCTGAAGCCTTTTTTGTTTTTTTCCCCAAAAAATTGGAAAAATTGAAAAAAGAAAAAAAATTGATTATGGAATGTTTTATTTTAACATGATGAATAAAATATTTTAAGACAAGTTGTTCAAATATTTTCCAAATCATTTCTAATATATATATATATATATATGGTATCAGATTGATGTAATTTCTGTGCACTGAGGGCAAGCAAGTCCTAGGTTACAAACTGAACTCTCCAATGCAAGAACTAGATGCATTTCTTCCTTTAGGAGGTGCTATTGTCACGAGAAAAGAAAAAGGTTTCAGTTTTGTTTTTGCAGGTGGGCGGGTATTTTGTTTGTAATAACTGTTTGGATACACTATATTTTTAATATGCTAGTTGTGATAATTTCATGACAAGTAAAAATGTCCATAGTCATATTTTATGTTCCTAAAGTAACAGAATGACTTTCAATCTAGAAAAGACAAAAGAACTGCTAATGTAGCATTTTTTTCAATTTTTCCAAAAATTTCCATTTTTTTTCCGGGAAATTTTACATCTCTAGTTTTGACTTGGTTTGTATCAGGCTCTTTTTGCAGCGGGAACTCCTTTGCATATTAGGCAACACACCCCTAATGTAGCCAATCCTCCAAGAGCTTACAGTAGCCCCTGTAAGAAGAGCTCTGTAAGCTCTTGGAGGATTGGCTAGGGGTGTGCCGCCTGATATGCAGAGGAGCTCCTGCTACAAAAAGAGCCCGTACAAATGTTCAAAGCAGCAATGTTCTACGGAATGAACCTGCCACCTGCACCCTCAAGAGAAGGGAAAGATACCCATAAACGGGAACTCTAGAGCAGTAGCTCCCAAACTTTTGGGTATGGTGACTCACAAGACCAAATTTACTTGATAGGGGGGGACCCACTTAGGAAAAAAAAAACAGCATGCAAAAGAAAAATTAAATTGGATAAAATTGCAAAAGCCTGGGACTCACTTTTGGGTTGGGGCAACGCGGCTCTCGAAGATGACAGAGAGAGCCAGGAACAGCGACCCCCCCCCAAAAGGCCGCAACCCACCAAATGCGAAATCTTGAAACGAGCACATTGAACGACAATTTGCTTCACGCTCTGAAGAGCTGGAGTTTGGGGAGTAACGGGGCCGTCAGGGGAAGGGGGACAGCCGGACTACAGAGAGATAGCCAGGAGGGAAGGGTTGACCTCACTCGACAGCTCGGCTCTGCTTCCCTCCGGATGGGCCTCTTCAGGGGTCATTTCCTGCAGGAGCGCACAGGAGCGGAGCTCCGGCAGTAAAGAGCCCAGGAGGCGGGCCCATGCAACAAGCCCCACCCCCTGCTCCCAGCAGCCCTCAGTCAGAGCAAGAAGCAGCCAGGTAACCTGCAGAGCCACGCACCAACGCCCCGAGCAAACAGTCCAGTAGCACCTTTAAGACCAGGTTTTATTCAGGTACAAGCTCTCCCTCCTCTGTGAGGACAGATCTGCACGTCCCCCCCCCCCCAAGCTAGCAATCCAAAACAGTCCAGTGGAGCCTGAGTGGTGGATGTTGCCTTCTGACACACTTCTGGTGATGTCAGGGGGTGTGGCATATGCAAATAAGTTATGCTAATGAGCACCTGCACCTCTTTTTCTATGAAATGATCCCTGGGCCTCTTTCGCAGTTTTCTGCCACTCCCAACCCCCCCCCCCCCCGATTTAGGCCAATAATTTCAAATATTTTATCCCGAAGGGAGCCCCAATACACTTAAACGTGAGAACACAACAACCCTGGATCCTGAGCTGACGGGACACTCCTGAGCTCAGCCGGACAATCGCTCGCAGACCCCCTCCTTCGCCAGGTTCCTCCTTGCTCAGATCCCAGCTGCCGTGCTGCTTCACGGCACTGGGCATGTGCAGAATCATAAAGCGTGGTGCAGTGGTTAAGGGTGCGGGGCTAGGATCTGGGAGATCCATGTTCAAACCCCGGCTCTGCCACGGAAGCTTGCTGAGTGACCCTGGGCCAGTCACACTCTCAGCCTAACCTACCTCACAGGGTTGCTGCGCGCACTAAATGGAGGAGAGGAGAAGGGTTGCTGCTTTTGGTGCCCATGGGGGAAGAAAGGCAGGGTATAAAGAAGTAAATAATAATATGCGGGCTGGTGCACCTAGCCCTCACTGCTGGGATTTTTTGGCACTTTGTGTGTGCGCGCGCGTGCGCGCCTGGATGTCATGGTTGACTTCTGGCGACCCCTAGTGAGGCATGAATGTTCAGACAGAAGAAGAGGAGGAGATTGGATTTATACTCCGCCCTTCACTACCCAAAGGAGTCTCAGAGAGGCTTACAATCCCTTTCCATTCCCTTCCCCACAACAGACACCCTGTGAGGTAGGTGTTGCTGAGAGAGCTCTTTCAAGGACTGCTCTGAGAGAACTTGTGACTGACCCGAGGTCACCCAGCAACTGCATGTGGAGGAGTGGGGGGGGGGTCCACGCTCCTAACCACTACACCAAACTGGCAAATAAGGTGGCTTATGTCCCGGCCCTGGTATTCCTTGGAGGTCTCCCATCCAAGTACTTGCCACGGTTGCCCCTGCTTCGCTTCCGAGATCTGACCGGTTCAGCCTTGCCTGGTGCTGGAACCACTTATCCAGGAGAGGAGAGGGTCGCCAGGGGCAGAAAGTCAGGGGTTGAGCCTCACTTGGATTGCACAGTGCCAGCTTAAAAGTTTACCCGGAGATAGTTCATGAGGTCCCTCAGTGCCGGGAGCCTGCTTTGCTCCAACGCGGTCTTCAGCGAAGTGATTATTGGAATGACGTGCTCGATGAAGTTCTTCTTTTGAACCTGTGAGTAGGATTGGACAGAAACATGCATTCAGGTAAACGGGACTGCTCCACTGAAAGCAAGGGAGATGCTGTGCACGGTCAGAGAAGCACTTTCAGACATGGGTTCCCAGATAGACTGCACAGCATAATGACTTTAAAGGACTAAGGCTGTTGCTGACAGTCGCTACGGAATGCCCTGAGATCAAACTGTACCTGTCGTAACATCTCCTGCCAATTTCAGAATGTGTCCAAAAAATACCGACAATTGCTGTAACGGCCAGGTTGACGGATTACAGAAGGAACGGATCAGGAAATAATGCAAACTGATGACTAAAAAATGGTTGCCTGTCGTAATAGACTGAAATGGTAAATGTCTAAATAACGTAAAGACTTGTGTGTTTTTTGATCTGCCGTGACCCGTTTTGCTTATTGCAATACTGCACCTCTTTAAAAATCTGCATTACTGTAATACTACACTTCGTTAAAAATCTGCACACTGTGTTTAGAACTGCACAGTAGGCAGGGGTCATTTCCTGCAGGAGCGCACAGGAGCAGAGCTCCAGCAGTAAAGAGCCCAGGGGGCGGGCATATGCAACAAGCCCCACCCCCTGCTCCCAGCAGCCCTCAGGCAGAGAAAGAAGCAGCCAGGTAAGCTGCAGAGCCCCCCCCCAAGCCCCCTGGCCCAAAACAGTCCAGTGGCACCTTTAAGACCAGGTTTTATTCAGGTACAAGCTCTCCCTCCTCTGCGAGGGCAGAGCTGCACGTTCCCCCCCCCCAATAGCTAGCAATCCAAAACAGTCCAGTGGAGCCTGAGCCTTCTGACACACTTCTGGTGATGTCAGGGGGTGTGGCATACGCAAATAAGTTATGCTAATGAGTTATGCTAATGAGCGCCTGCACCTCTTTTTCTACAAAATGACCCCTGACAGTAGATAACTGTGGGAAGAACTGCACAGCAATGCAGAAAGATACGTTGTCGAAGGCTTTCACGGCCGGAGTTCGTTAGTTGTTGTAGGTTTTCCGGGTTGTGTGACCGTGGTCTTGGCATTGTAGGACCTGACGTTTCGCCAGCAGCTGTGACTGGCATCCTCAGAGGTATAATACAGAAAGATGGAATACTCTCTGTGTCAAGGGGAGAAGGTGCGTGTCACAGCTCCTGCTCAGTGCGAGCAAGCTGTTCCTGCGGAGTGTGAGCAAGCGGCCCCAGCAGAGGATCTAAGTGCTGCTGGGGATGAGCTCTCGATGCCGGAAACTCCCGCACTTGACAGGGCTGAGGCTACCCCCAGCAACAGCTGAGGCAGAAGCACACCCGGACAGTTCTCCTCCTGATTCGCCTCCACCGGTATCGCGTTTGAGAGAACAGCGCCGACGGGAGATGGCAGCCCGGCGGCGAGAGGCATGCATGCGTGGCAGGCGCTCATTCAGCCCCGAGTATTAGTAGGAGCCGGGACTCGCTTGGGGCGCGCTAATTGCCAGCAGGCTTATGGGCTATTTAACCTGCGCCCTCACGCTGACAAATCGTGCCAGCAACTAGTCTTTTCGGACGAAGTTCTGCACCTTCTCGCTCGTGTTCCTAACTCCTGGTTCCTGTCTGGATTCCCTCGGCTTAAACCACTGTGCTTAGACTCTGCACCTTGAACCTTTGACTCCCTGGCTCTTGACTCTTTTGGACTCTGGTTTCCTGACGACTCTAACGGTTTGTGCTTTGAACTTGGTTTCCTGGTTGGTTTGCTTGCCTGGCTCTTGACTTTGGACTGCACCACGCTTTTGTTTTGTGTATTGGACCTGGTTTTCCAACTGGCTTGCTTGACTGGCTCTTGACTTCAAACTGTATCCTGACTGCCTCGCCCTTGCCCAGCCCCGCCTCGTGACAGTGCGACTCAGCCCTACCCCACCTTCCTGAGTAGATATAAATTACCTGCCTACCATTTTTCTTCTCACCTTGACACAGAGAGTACTCCATCTTTCTGCGTTATACCTCTGAGGATGCCAGTCACGGCTGTTGGCAAAACGTCAGGTCCTAAATTGCCAAGACCACAGCCATACAGCCCGGAAAATCTACAACAACTAAAGCAGAAAGAGTTCCCGGCTTCCGGTCGCCCAGGACGTTACAGATATTTGCAGCCGGCTTCTAATAACCTGGAATACGCTTTCGTGTTGGGCAGGCTTCCGTCGAAGCTGCGGCACTCACCTGCGAGATGAGCTTCTTCTGGGCCACCTGCATGACAACATTGGCCATGGCCATCTCATCTTCCTCCAGCGGGAGGTCCTCCTCCGGCCTGGACCTCATGGCCGACAGCTTGATCTCCTTGCAGCTCAGGATCTCAAAGGTGTCCGAGAGCAGCTCACTGGCTTCCATGTCAAGTGGGAGGACTCTGTCCACGAAGCAGGCTGGAAGCGGTGGTAGAGAAAGATGCAGCTGTTATGTCGGCAGCTTCTAGGCGGTGGGACAGTGGCTCAGTGGCAGAGCATCTTCTGTGCAGGCAATCCTGCACAGCCAATCCTGGCCCCACTGCTGGACCTCCTGATGGCACCTGGGATTTTTGGCCACTGTGTGACACAGAGTGTTGGACTGGATGGGCCATTGACCTGATCCAACATTGGCTTCTCTTATGTTCTCTTAAGTACTTTTCTCCCTTTCTCACAATACAGGAACCCGTGGGCACTCAATGAAATTGCTGAGCAGTCGGGTTAGAACACATAAAAGGAAGTCCTTCTTCCCTCAAAGAGTGATTAACACATGGAATTCACTGCCACAGGAGGTGGTGGCGGCTACAAGCATGGGCAGCTTCAAGAGGGAATTAGATAAACATCTGAAGCAGAGGTCCATCTGTGGCTATGAGCCACAAGGTATAGATAGGAACTCTCACTCTGGGGCAAAGGATGCAGGACCTCCTGATGGCACCTGGTATTTTTGGCCACTGTGTGACACAGAGTGTTGGACTGGATGGGCCATTGGCCTGATCCAACATTGGCTTCTCTTATGGTCTTAAAGTCTCTTAAGAGCCCTGCTGGGTCAGAGCAGTGGTCCATCTAGTCCAACATCCCGTTCCACGCCTGTGGCCAAACAGTTCCTCTGGACGGCCAACAACAGGGCATAGAGGCCAAGGCCTTCCCCTGATGTTGCCTCCTGGAACTGGGATTCAGAGGTTTAGTGCCTCTGCATGTGGAGGTTCGTTTAAGTCACCGTGGCTAATACCCACTAACGGACCTCTCCCCAGTGATCTGTCTAAACCCCTTATAATGCTATCTATGCTTGTGGCCATCACGACATCCCCTGGCAGCAATTTCCACCTTTTAATCACTCTCTGTGTAAAGAAGCATTTCCTTTTGTCTGTCCTGCATCTGCTGCCCATCAGCTTCATCGGGTGCTTTTCAGTGCTCGCGTCATGAGAGAGGGAGGGGGGAAATGTTCTCCCCCAAGTCCCGGGTTCAGTCCTCAGACTCTCTGGTTTAAAAGACCAGTGGGTGACCTGAAAAGACCTCAGCCCGAGATCTTGGAGAACCACTGCCAGTCAGAGGCCCTTGATAAGTTGAAGCTCTCACACTCAGTCTAAGACAGCTCTGTATGGCCATAGTGCAAAATGCTTTATGCCAATACATTCAGGCTGGGTAGCCGTGTTGGTCCGAAGCAACAGAACGAAGTTTGACTCCGGCGGCACCTTTAAGACCAACAAAGTCTAATTCTGGGTATAAGCTTTTGTGGGCATGCGCACTTCGTTTCTTTCAAGTGTGCAGACACAAGAAAGTTTTTACCCAGAGTGAGACTTTGTTCGTCTTAAAGGTGCCGCTGGCGTCAAACTCTGTTTAATGCCCAGAGCAGCTTGGTATTTTGTGTAGGGAGAGAACACACTATAACTTGTTTCCTTTTTTTCTTCAGGGGAAAAATGCAAAGGGGAAAGACCTTCACAAGCCGCTGACATTTACTCACATGGTCTCTGCCAAGGGCTCCCATCCCACACAATTACATGTATCCAAACATGTAAAAGAAGAGGAGGAGGAGACTGGATTAAAACCCCGCCCTTCACTCCGAGTCTCAGAGCGGCGTACAAACTCCTCCCCCTTCCCCTCCCCACAACAGACACCCTGTGAGGTAGGTGGGGCTGAGAGAGCTCTGACAGAAACTGCTCTTTTTCAAGAACAGCTCTTACCAGAACTACGGCTTGCCCAAGGTCATCCAGCAGCTGCGAGTGGAGGAGTGGGGAATCACATCCGGTTCTCCCAGATTAGAGTCCGCGCACTTAACCACTGCACCAAACTGGCTCTCGGTGCTTATTCTTATGAAAAGACCTCATGCGGTTGAGTCTTTTATAGCCGTGTTAGTCCCAGAGAACAGAATTCATTCAATAACTTTATAAGTACCAGCTCAGTGACACACAAAGCTTCATTATATTGAATCAGACCCTTGGCTCATCACAGTCAGTCTTGTCTACTCAGACTGTCAGTGGCTCTCCAGGGTCTCAGGCTGAAGTCTTCGACTTCACCTACTGCCTGGTCCTTTCATCTGGATTTGCTGGGGGTTGAACCTGGGACCCCTCTGCATACAAAGCTCTACCACCAGGGCTATTTTTGGGCAGGAACGCACAGGAACGGAGATCCGGCTGGCTCCTGAGTTGGCCACACCCAGCAGGAGCTCATTAGCATAATAGGCCACACCCAACAGCAGAAACTCATTAGGATTGGCTACATTAGGGGTGTGTGGCCTAACGTGCAAAGGAGTTCCTGCTACAAAAAAAACCCCTCTGGGTTTTGACAACAAAGTAATCAGAATAAGAAGCAAAAGGTGGGTGTGGCTGGATGACCACACTTCTGGTACCATGGGGGTGTGGCCTAATATGCTAATGTGCTGTGCTGTCAAGGGTGTGGCCTAATATGCTACTGAGTTCCTGCTGTTGGGTGTGGCCTGTTACGCTAATGAGTTCCTGCTGGGCTTTTTCTACAAAAAAAGCCCTGTCTACCACTGAGCCACGACACATAACAATGTGCATGCTTTTGAGTTCCTGTGGAGAGCTGCTAGCAATAAATGTTCACGATTACCAGGACACTTTTGAATGTTTATTGTGCTTCATGCACGTGATCATAGCAGCCCTCACTACAACCCTGCGCAGTAGGCTAATATCATTATCCCCATATGAAAGATGGCAGAGGCTCAAAAAGAGGAAGAGATTGGATTGATACCCTGGCCTTCACTACCCAAAGGTGTCTCATCTCAGAGTGGCTTACAGTCTCCTTTCCCTCCCCACAACAGACACCCTGGGAGGCCCACAACAGACACCCTGGAAGGTAGGTGATCCTGAGAGAACTTATAACTGACCCAAGGTCACCCAGCTGGCTGCATGTGGAGGAATGGGGAATGAAACCCAGTTCTCCCAGATTAGAGTCCACGCTCCTAACCACTACAACAAACTGACCCTGAGCCACGCGTCTAAGATCACTTGCAGGCCCAATGCTCCCTCTAAGCTGTGAAGTCTTGTGAGCAAAGATTCTACTTTGTGAGCTACTGGCATTAAAGTTGTGAGCGAGCAATTTGGCTATTGCCTAAATTAGTTTGCTCTGGAGCCATCCTTCCTGTATGAGCTGAAGGCTAAAAAACTGTGAGCTATCTCACACTAACTCAGCTTAGAGGGAGCACTGCTCGCAGCTGAAGTGAGATTCCAATTCAGAGCTTGCACTCTTGCCTCTCCTGCACAGGGCCTGCTGATGGGCGCTGAAGTAGCTGTGCATGAACATGGGGGCATTTTTGGAAAGGCCCTATGATTTAACACCGGCCCAACTGCGCCCACCGCTGATGTTTCCTATGATGTGTCAAAAGCCAGGGCCGTACCCAAAATGTTGTGGCTGATCTTAGAGGTGATGTTGAACCTCTGCTCGTCTGTGAAGTGGTCCAGCAGGAACTTGTAGATCTGCATCCGCTTCCCTTTGTTAGCTCGGCCCTTCAGGGAAAACAACTTTTTCTCCCTGTAACAAATGATGGTCGTTGTTGTCTTCATCACTACAGATGGTGACAGCGATTTCCCAATGCCACCCCCCCAAATCCAGGAGCTAATTGGGGTGGGTGGAAAGGAAGCAGGAAAGGGGGTGGGAGGCCAAGGCCGTTTGCCACCCAGGAAAAGGACTCTGATGGACCCCTCCCACTCCAGAGGTTGTCTGCTCCTGTGACACTGGAGAATAACGTATGGCGGGACCCCCAACTTTTTTGAGCCAATGGGAACCTCTGGAATTCTGACACAGTGTGATGGGCGCAGCCACAAAATGGCTGCTGAGGCGCACCTTCAGCCACACAGTGAAGATCCTTGTGCTGTGGTGGCAGCTGCCGCCAAAGGACCATTTTTAAAAAATCTGCACAGCCAATCAAAATCTCCAATGGCCGCCCTGACCTGGATAGCCCGGGCAAGTCCGATTTCGTCAGATCTCGGAAGTTAAGCAGGGCCAACTTCGGCAAGTACTTGGAAGGGTGACCTCCGAGGAATACCAGGGCCGGGAGGCAGAGGTAGGCTACTCAAGCCGCCTCTCTGGAAAATGTCCAAGTTCCCAGTAGGGGTTGCCAGAAGTCGACCATAACTTCCATGCAAGCACACAAAACACTCACGCACAAACATTAGAAGAAAAAAATCTCCAGCAGCCAATCAGTAGCCCTGCTGGGCAAAAGCCCCACCTGGTCCCGCCCACTTTCTAAAAACACTTGGCAAGTGCCAGGAAAGGTGCCAGCGGGCACCGTATTGGGCGCTCCAGATCAATGCTCCCTCTAAGCTGTGGAGTCTTGTGAGCTAGAAGTCTCCTTGGTGAGCTGCTGGCATTCAAGTTGTGAGCAAGCGATTTGGCTGCTGCATCAATTAGTGTGCTCTGGAGCCCTCCTTCCTAAGACAAAAATCTGTGAGCTGGAGGCTAAAGAACTGTGAGCTAGCTCACACTAACCCAGCTTAGAGGGAACACTGCTCCTGATATATGTTTCACATCCTGAAGAGGAAGGGAAGAGGATGCTATCGCTATATGCTCCTTGACAACTGGCAGGGAGAACTGCTGGTTTTGTGAAGACCCCGGGAGAGGCCATGCCTCTCTGCGAAGAGCACCCTCCTCCCCCAACCCAGTGCCAGTCGCCCGGCCACCAGGAGGAAAGCGACGGCCATTAACATTAAAATGAGATGTGTGTTCACCGACCGCTCGGACTGGGAGAACCGGTTGTACTTCTCGTGTCTCTCGTAGCTGTTGAAGTGGAAGATGCACTCGATGAAGTGCTGGGAGAACATGGTCGGGTTCCTCTTGAGCAGGAGGTGCACCAGACAGAACTCCGCCAGGCTGCGAGGGGGGAAGCGAAGAAAGGAAAGATGTTTCAGAAAGCCCACTCCATATTTAGGGTCATGTTTTTAGTTGGACACAGGCTGACGGGGCCAGGAACGTGGTCTCCGGTCCGGACAGTGACTCCAAGATCAGCGAAAGGCGCTTTAAGCTCCTTCGCCCAGGCATGAACAGCTGGGGTTGCCAACCTCCAGGTGGGGCCCAGAGTTCTCCTGAGATCAGTTCCTCTGGGGGAAATTACAACATATGAATCATACAACTGTGATGAGGAGGCATTCACAATTATTTATCTAAAGATGTTATACAAAACATTAATTTCTGAATGTGAGTATTACAAGAGATAATACAATGGAAACAGAAGCGAAAAGGCGGGACGGCGGTCTCCGGACTGGTGCTGCCGTTTCGACAATGCGTCTTCTTCTGACCAAAAATTGTGCCAGTCAATGCGAAGTATGGAGTTCCTCAAGCAACAAAAAGCTGCATACTCTTGAGTTTTCTAACTCTTATCGCTTGAGAAGCAACATATCCTATTCTAGGAAAAAAAGTTCTCCCAAAAGGGCTGAAGTCAAAGCTTGAGCAATGACCGCTCTGGAAGGCAGATCTGTCACGTCACATCCCTGCTGAGCGCACTCGCCTCCCCCACCTCCGCCCTCACCAGACAAATCTCCAGATCTCTAAGGCCAAGCTGGCAATGCGAGCAGTGACAGAGAATCGGGGAAAGTCCTTCCCTTCCGAAGCACCTCCGTCCCACTCCAGGGCTAAGAACGCAGCGCGCGGGCGGGGGGGGGGGGAGTTTCACAAGATATGGGACTTTTTCAAGCTTGAAACGATATCAATATATAACTCAAATGACCAGAGTGAATGCGAAAGATATAATCCCTTAGGAAAATGGTTCCCCATGATAGAAAAAATAACCGTTGATAACTTTAATTGGGAAAGCATCAGTAAAGCTAGATATAAAATAATGATTTACAGTTGACAAGTTATAAGTTTATCACTCTGCATTCTGTATTCCGAAAGCATGTAAGTTGTTATGAGATAGAAATCTTATAGTATTCTTTTTTTTCTTCTTCTCTAAGTGAAGCAACCTATATTTGTGTATTATAATGTTGAATTCTGTATTCCTTTTGAAAAAGAATAAAAATTGTTGGGGGGGGGGGGGGAATGCAGCAGGGAAAAAGAAAGTTGTCCAGGTGCCAAGGCGGCAGAATGCACCGCGTCACCTCGGAATGCCGTGGAGGGATTCCTTCCCCTCGGACCACGCCTCCTCGAATGATTCCCTGGGAGTGGAAAGCTCACACCACGTGGCCAGCTCATCGGGAAGCAACCAAAAAGAACGCCACGCTCCTAGTGACAGCACATTCCACCACTTTGTTGCACGGCACGGGCAGACTGAGTCCTCACTCGCGCTCTTGCGTTCACACACGGGAGCAAACAGCTGAGCGGTAGAAAGAGGAAGCTCTGATCGTGCCTCTCTTGTTCCTCGCCTGGTGTGGGTCGGACCAGAAAGCTCCTGGGTCAGGTTGGGCCCTGGACTCTGCCGATGCCGAGCCGGGGCCGACAAGCAAGGCGGGCATGTCGACCTGGAAGGCGTGGGCTGGCTCAGAATTGCCAAACCTCGGATGTTCCGCAGGGTGCGCCCCCGATAGTACT